TCGTGCTTGTTACGCGTTGAGTCAAAATGCACCTTGCCAGCCCGCTATTTACCACCTTTTTTAAAATTTCAAGTCGCTAGGCCTCCGCGGCCAGTCATGGCCAGATTTTCGTATGTCCGTTTGACGCTGCGTCAAAGCTGTTGCCGACGTTTCGACCATTCTTGTCGTGGCCTTCTTCAGGCTCGTTATGTCATGGCATACCACCCGTAAATCAAGATCATGTACTTTTTTAAATTTCTAAAGTACCGAAAACATTTTTAAGAAATTAGCTTCGGCCATTTTACTTGAGAAAGATATTTCACCTATGATAAACTCATGATAGCAGATAAACATCGTTTTGAGATCAAAAAATCGAGTTTGTAGGATAAAAAGCTCGTGCGTATACGCGCTCATTTCTTTCCGATTTGAAACCCGAAGATCTGTAGTGCAAGGTGAATGTTACAGAAAACCTTGTGTGAACTAAAAGAATAAAAAAGTATCTAAATACAGATGTAAGGAGAAGAATAATAGGATTATATTTTACAAAATTAGTTCAGTTTTTTAAACCTTGTCAAATCGAATTCTATATTTGAGTATTTGCCTCAAACAATTTTAATCGTATTCAAGGAAGACGGAAATATGTGAAAAAATAATATTATTACTACTATTATAACCGTTACCGCAGTCAGTAATGTATTATAGCCATCTCTAATTGTACTGTGTAAAAATAAACAGATGCAAAGAGACGAAAGCCGAAACCGACTGTCTGCTTGCTTATCCCGCAAGTCCCCCGCTTCCCCGGGCTGCCCGCACGGCCGCTTGGCGGTCGTTGCCCCCCGACGACAGAGCCACAACAATCGGGTGGGTGACGCAAGCCGAAAAGGGGAAGGACGGCGAATGTTTCGTTATAAATTTCACTTTACGACGCTCCTATTCTCCGATTTGCATATGTTACGGGTGATTCAGGAAGCAATGTCCCATCGCCTAAAACAAGCCCACATTTAAACTTTTTTCTCGGAAGTTTGAGAAACTAAATTTCAAGTTCGAGATTTGCTAGATTTTTGGAAAAAAGGCGCTTCGTAGGCCGTTAATTCTATTTGAAAAGCGTCAAAATCCGTTTACAGATCGACAATCGAACCATTAGTTCAGACGTATCGGTAAAGAAATTCCCTTTTGATAGTGCTGCATCTAGAATGTTCCTACAAAGATTTTTCGTGCATTTACCTTTAATGAAATTTTCGTCTGCGCGAAAGCTTTCAAAACGAAACTTTTACCTAATAGCTGTCTTGCTGGATACGCGTAACCCAAAAACGCCCAATGATACTTGCCCTGGTGCGCAGGTTAGTGTCGCCGCGGTACGACGATGTGCGCCCGCGAAGGCGGGCCGCTTCCAGTGCATCCACTGCGGCTAATTCCTCCAACAACTCCCTCATTACCAACACCAGCTCGTGCACAACGGAGAGAAGCCTTACAAGTGCACCTTCTGCTCCTTACGCTACACGGACCAGCAACTAAGTGTCCACAAGCGGAAACATACCGGAGAAGCCCTATCGGTTCACTGTGTGCAAAGTTATTCGTATAACTCATCTTCAAGACCCACAAATTAAATCTCATCTTGGATACGTAATATGTAGGCAAGTGCTATATTACGTAACTAATTGTATGCGACTTGCGCTATGATTTTTCACTTTAAATTCAACTGTTTTTGATGAAACGTATTTTTCCAATAATCCTCAACTGATCGAAGGAAACATAATGTGCACAGCGAAGCACAGCGGGGATATTTGGCCTTTTGTAGATTTCGCAGTGTGCAAAGTGCACAAAACATTATCCTGAAGAAAACAAAGTTGACGTCATAATGGAGAATGTGAATAAGTAGACTAATTGCCTTCATCTCATAATGAAACGTATAAATCTGTTACGCTGCTTGTAATGATTCATTTCCTTTTCACTTTAATCTGTTCTTCTGACTCTTCTGTTTTGTGATGAATGCCACATTGCAAATTATAATATGCATAAAAGTATATTTGTTTTGTTGCAGCAAAAGGCATTGCTTCAAGAGTACAAATTTGACCTAAATTTTCCAAAGCTCCCCACTACTGTCCTTGGATATCGATCATCCATGTCCTGATCTCAAACACTTCCAGCTGATAACAATTGAAGTCAAACAGTATAGCAAAAGATGACGTTGGCGTTAGCCAAAGAATATGTTTTCTAGTGTTTGTCAAGGTATTTGTAAACACCTTGACCAAGGGTCATGTCTTAGATCAAACTTTGTGACTCACGAAAGCAAAACGCCTTTTGCGCCAACATATTTGAGCCACAAGAACTCATTCCAATTCATTCCAAGTTGTTCTTCGCGCTTGCTGAAGAGAACCCAATAGGTTTGAAAAGCTAGCAAAAAACTGGCTTCATTTATCCCATTTTTTGCAGTGACCGCCTATTTGGATGAGAGTTTATCCCAATACCTTGCAACCGCTACAAAACTCAAAATTACTGATTGGTATTGGACCTATGTCAAGGTGTTTTAAACCAAAACGCCTTTGCAAACAGTAACAACGGTATTCTTTGGTACGCCACTCATCTATTTGTATACTGCATTCGACTTTCAATTCGTCTCATCAGCGTAGAAGTGGGTTTTTAGAATCCAGCGACTGGCTGACCGTTCTACCATGGACAGTATGAGGAATTCTAGTATGTGTTTATTTTGTATAGTCTCTATTTATTTTCATTGTACACCCGATAATTTTAGACAATTTTTATGTTAACATTACATCAATCCGATTTACGTTCCGAAGCTCATGTGGCTGCAACATCAGCGTTAAAACTTAGGGCATAAAGTAACCGAATGGATAAAAAGTACAATTGAAATGTTAAATTACATACAGCACCTTAATAAATGAGTTAATTGAATGTCACCAATTAACTGACATGAACTCAGCATTTATTATTCGGACAACATTTCCACCAGACGAATAGTTCATCGGCTCGAAAAGGCGTCAAATGCCGTTTACAGATCGAAAATCAGACCATTGGTTCAGACGTTATCGGTAAAGTAATTTTTACTTATTTTGGTGCTGCTATGTGGTGGCCACAAATTGTACTTGTGTCGGGAAATTTAGCCTTAAGCAGAGCTGTGTTCTGTCGTTCGTACGGGAAAACACAGGTCGGGCACAAGCAGAGTGTAAGTTTGCGTTTCATAGGAAGCAAAAGCTCAAAGATCAACAGTTCGTTGTACGATTATAAGTCGAAGCAAACCAAAACTGATTGGCAAAACCTTGGTTTAGATGTACGAATTCGCGCAAAGCAAAACGTGTTTTGTGGGCGTGTGTGTGTGGAAATGGCATGAACTGAGGCTTCCTGAGAACGAAAAACTCAAGGCAAACCAGCTGGATAGATTCCTCGTCGCAAACACTACTTGAGCATCTTTGGATTTAGTAATGGGTGTCACCACCGCATTGGTAAGATATATAGGCCCTTGAGACTAATGGACAGCTAACTGGAAATAAATGTATTTCTAACCGTTTTCAATTCTTTATTTAAAAAAATATCTTTAGCCCATTTGAGTTGATTTTTTCTTCAAATATTCACGATCACTTGCATAAGCTAAGATGAATGTTTGGGCTACTTTTTTATTGCATTCTTGCCCTAACGAATGCAAGAAGAGATAGTATTGTATTCGTGCGTCACAAAACGGCGTATTTTTGACAGAAAATCTCTTGTCGTTCACCAGTAACTAAAAATGTTCCCTGTTCCTCGGTAAAGTGATGTAGCTGATAATGATCGGTGAACCATTGAGAACTACCGATGGGAGAGCACTTCTCCCCCACACAGCGGATGAATAACTGTCTAGCTGGTAACGAAAATCCGCCATCAGGAATCGAACCCTAGTTCGGTACCCTGGAAAGAGTCGCTAGATAGTCGATGGAAGAGCTTGATCTGAGATAAACCCAGCTGCTTTGTTCCCAGTCACGAAGCTTTTAGATTAGATCTGCCAGAAAACCGTCTTCATGACCACCTCCTGGCCATTCCAACGGATGTCGACAGCGGTTATTCTCTGAGGATTTACTCAAACCAGGAATCACTAAAGATGTTTAGGGCCCGTTTCACCAACAGCCGAGTAAAGTTGATAGTAGTTACCCGAGAGTAAACATTTACTCTAAGATACTAACTCTCGAGTAGAATATGAGCGTTTCACCATGCTTCTAGAGGGTTATTTTACTAGAGTACATACTCTCCGTTTTACTCCGCGAACCGCTGAACGCGCAATTTTTCATACACAGTAGAAAGCGATTCAAGAGGCCGTGAGCGTGAGTGACACTATGAACCAATCATAGAGTAGACATATATCTCTCCTCTATGGAACCAATGCTAACCACTGTTTATTTCGTTGTTCCATCGTCCATAGTTTCGGAGTTCTTGGCGAAGTCTTGTGTGGTGTTTTGATTATTTCAGTGTAGATTATTTTTTAGTCTTTGCAGTCTTGCTGTCTCTATTAATATTTACTTGAGTTATTGTTATTTTATTGTGTAAATTTATTAATTCTATTATATCTTTATTTTCCTCTATTACTTATAGTTTCGTTACATTTAATTTTTATCGTTTTCTTTCTATTTTTTTCGTGGTTATAAAAAATTCCCCCCAAAAAAGTTCTTATTGTAATTTTAGTTTGCTTTTCTATTAGATTAGTTATACTAGTTTAGCTCTAGCGTATTATTTTTTCAGTATCTTTTAATTTACCCCCCCAAAAAGTTCGTAGTGCAATTCGTTCATCTTTTTTATTTTTCATCTTATTAGTTAGTATTCTACTTTATCTTTTTAGTTTAATTTGGTTTTTCCATAATCAAAAGATGTCACAAGTGGCAGAAAAGCGCCAAAGAAGCCCAAATTGGCATGCTTCGGAAAGCAATTACTAGTTACGCTTGTCGAAGAATATTTTTCGACGATAGAAATTAAGATGACGAACGCATCGTCAAAACTAGAAAAAGTTCGGGGTTGGCTGAAGATAGCTAGGATTTATAATTCTCAGACATCTTTGGCCCACAGGGAAGCCCTTACACTTAAAAAATAATGGTGTAACCTGAAAAAAAAATGCTAAGAAACTCTTAGGAAATTTGAGAATGGAAGCCAATAAAACAGGTAAAAATAAGATTCATGTGTATTAAATGTAAATTAGCATTGTTAATAACCTAATAACTATGATTTACTTTGATTTGAATAGGTGTTGGACCTTCAAATCAGCTGACTGGTAGAGCTGCAGAGAGCTATCATAATCCATATGATGCAGATGCTGGAATGATTCAGCCTACATCAGGTTTATAAATCTTTCGTTCTTTTAACTGTTTCATTATTATTTTATATATTTTTTTCTGTGCTCAATCTCTTAAAGTGAAGTGTTACTCTGATGTGTTTTAAAACTGGTAACGTTTACAAAGCATAACAGAATGTTGATATGCTCCTTAAAGGACAGAAATAATTCAGATTACATAACTTTTAGTTGTATGTTATGTTGGTGATAAATATACTTTTCCATATAAGCGTTCAAAAGGTTGAGAAATGTGGTAGTATGCATCCCTGAGCATACTTCCAGTGGCACAACACTGGGTATATTGAAATGATAGTTTCTGAAGTTTCAAATTTTATTCTTTAAGAAAATTGCGATGAGACTCCTCAACTTGTGGAGGAGGAGCAACAGCAACTAGAAGAGGTGGAGGAGGAAGGGGGGGGGGTGCTGCTGCTCAATTTACAATTCAACCAGAGGTAGAGTCTCCGGAAAGAAGCAAGACTGAGGTAAAGTGATTTTCGTGAGTTTATTCTACTTTCAATTGTTGTATTTTGTGTTTCTTGCTTCTACACACAAATGATCACACGAGCAAAATGCAATATCCAGTGTAATATGTTACTAGTTATAAATTTTCATTTATGATTCTATTTTTATTTATTTTATGAAGGTTTACAACTGGGCTTCATATAATCCACAAATGCTGCGTACCCCAGTCTCAGCCTCATTAATAGCAACAGATGTTTTTGAAGTTGCACACAATGGAGGGGAACCTGAAACACCCAATTCGGGCCCAAATAACCGAAAAAATAGAAGGCAGCCTGCCATGCCAAAAAGTTCTATTGAACGTCTTCATTAAAAAAAATTGAAGCAATAGAGCTTCAAATGAAGTATGCCGAAGAGGAGAGGAAAGCAGCAATGCGATTAAATTTACTGGAAATAGAACTGAAGAAAGAGAAGATTTGGAAGGAGAAAAATGCTACTGTGGTTTTTTTTTCTTCTCTTTTTTCGCCCTCTAAAGCAGTGGCTTGGAGTTAGACTAACCTCATCCTCTCTCCTAAGCTTATGGAAAATAACCAGTATGAAGTTCAAATTTTTGGAAAAAGTTTTTTGTAAAGGAATAATTTAAAAGATTTAAATAAGCTTTCCAAATGGAAAGCAAACTAAAATAACCAGTTCCAAGGAATTAAAAATTCTGGTAAGTTGTAACAAATCCTATGGCTAAATAGAAAGTAATTTACTTTCATGTTTGTGAAATTTTCTGAATTTCAAATCTTCAGATTATACAATCGGTTCAGACATTTAAACATGGGATAACGCATTTGTTGCTAAATAGTTTTGTGAACTATGTATTCACATCAAGTACATGGATGAGGAAGAAATTCGAAAGTTGACCATGGTTTATATACCTGAAGTGATCATACTTAACAAATAAAATGTGTGGTTCCAGTATTTAAATGATTATCATCCTTTTTTGTTCTGGTCACTGAATCGATTGTCAATCTCAACATACTTACAATTCAGGTAAAAGTTAATGAAAATACACCAATCATGAAATTTAAAAAAATATGATAGTCCTTTGGATTGAATTCAGCATACACAATGTCTACGTTGGCAGGTAAAACAGGCATGGTAAAGAAGAGGCATATCAATTCAAACTCATAATAATGGTAACATATAAGATTTATTGCTGAAATTAAAACAAGTCCATATTGCATACAGAGTTGGAAGGGTGGAGAACGAACTATTTTACTTTAATTTGGTGGCAAGCAAAGACCATCTCGGTATTCACTAAAAAGTGCCCTGGAAAACCAGGGTCAGGATGGGGTATGTAATATCACGAGGCAGCAAAAGATGTTGACATGGCACCTCATAACAAACTGAAAATAATACAAAGTATTATGGGCCAAATTATTCAAATACAAAATAATTAGACTTGTATAACTTACGTACATCACTTGAATAAGACAATTACATTTACCTTTCAAAATAGTTCGTTATCAGAGACTGCTGAGCAGCATCATTTGCAGCTCCTCTTCTATCTGGCTGAACAGCTATTTGGCCTTCCATCAGAAGTTGGGCCCAAGGGACAGGCAGAACGAGGTCCGGATCATCAGGTGGATCTTGTTCTTCCTGCTCGCGTAGGATGATGTGGACTACTGCAGTAGCCACAATTACAGGAAATATGTTTTTTAATCTTATGCCTACAGCGAGAACAGGAAATCGGAAAACTTTTTTCTATTTCAGAATAGCTCAGCATCTTCTTCCCCCTGCACATAAAAATCAAAGCCACTGCTCTCAATGGAAACAGCACAAGAATTTAAATTTCTGGAATATTTTTAGCGAAGACCCTCATTTACCAGGAGAAGAAATCCTAATGTGAGTGCAGCCCATTGCACCAATAGCTTTGGGAAATCTAGCTATTCCATAAAAATTGAGTTCCCTATTTATTTCTTCCACTCTCTGAGGGAATGTAATGAACTCCTCTCGTAGGAAGGCAATGGCAACACTAACTCCCTGAATGATCCTATGTATTGTGGACTTGGTAGCTCCCATTTAGTCACCCGTTGTTAGTTGGGAACATCCTGTGGCATAAAATCTTAGGGTAGTCAGCAGCTGGCCCATCGGCGATCCAGAAGCATTCCTATGAGAGAAATGGATACAAGTCAATAAAATAAAACTACAAATGTGTTAGTGCGAATCACATTTACCTATTTACCATTATCGCTTACATAACCTCATTTTATATGGATCATACTCTTACAAAAAATTTACATTACAGTACGTTACTTAATAATACTAATAAAAATATAAGTTTTATTTAATTTGCAATGGCCATACCTATCAGACGTATATTCCAAATCAGCTTCAATTCTTTCAAGTAGGAAAAGTGCTGATCCTTTGGACACACGGAACCTCGTGACAAAATCCCGATCACAATTGGAAAACCAATCCATTCTTTCCCTCACCCATCTTGGCCTTCGCACTGGAGGGTAATATTCATTGTCGCTGGAATCATATTCAAATGCCATCATTCGCAATTGTCGCGCCATAACACTACGCACGAAGAAACCTGAACTTACAACAGAGATACTCTGCAGAGTAGAGAGTTACTCCACCGATTTTCGCAGGGTAAAATTACTCTCGAAATTACTCCAGTGTAAACTGATTTACTCTCGAGTAAATCAATTTACACGAGAG